CCCCCCCCCCCCCCCCCCCCAGAAGAAATGTATATTGAAAATAATTCTCTCCAGGCTTTCAACTTGTTTCCAGTACAGGGCATTTCTTTTAACTGATGCTCATACTCACACAGATGTCTCCTGTTAACAAGTTCAGTTCCAGCTTCTTCTTGGCCTGAAAGGTTGGTGTTAAGAAAAAAATAAATAAGAATATTAATTTCCTCCAAACACAAACACCTATATCGTCTTGCATATTATTCGTAATTTTATTTCTTATTTTTCCACTTTTTTCCCTAATTTTTTAGCCCCTTTAAATAAATAATGAATGAGCCTATTACCCCTCTACAGTCATATATTTTTTAAGGAGTGTAGATGGTATTTATACTTCCGACTCTTCTGTTGCTGCCTCCAGTAGCAGGCGAGCGCTCCGAATGCACAGCTTGCAACAGCAATTGCCAATGCTGCTCCCACAGGCACCACAACAGCATTTGTCGAAACTGCTAAATCTTCTACCACAACTCCACCCATCTGTCCATCCCTGAGATGTTCCCTATCCTCGTACAGAGAGATCAACATCTTCCCATAATAGTTGTTCAAGAACTTAAAAACCTCATCATGATCCCAATCGATATGATTATCTTTCGAGTTTTGACTACGATAGCAAGAAGGGCAAAGCTGTTTAGGAGGCCAGATAACTTTTGGAAATTTAGGATCACCGGTTCCAAGGGATGCCTCTTCCTTCATTAGTCTCTCATTAACTTTGTTGTGTGCATTCCATAACCAGAGGACAAATTCACGAGATTTCTTGAAAGGGGTAGAAACACTGAAAGTTTGAAAATTCTAGTTAGATGATGTGCTGCAGAAAATTTATCAAGTTAAAATCTTCATTAAATTACCTTGAGCACATGTCATAGAAGTGTTGCCGGCATTCTTCACAGATAAAGAAACTGTGAATAAAATCACATACAGCAGTGAATGCCATGTGACTTTCTCCGTCATCAACTCTCACAGAAAGTGAGGGCAATAAAACCCACAACCCACAACTGAAAAGAAACAAAAGACCAGTTAAGGCGTTAAAACAGACTCACTTCTGTGGTAAAAGCCAAACCTGGAGCCCATTTGTATTAGAAAAAAAATGGGATTCAAATGAACGTGCAAACTTTTAAGTTCTAGTAGCTAGCCAACCATGAGTTGGAAGGCCATCTCCAACTTTAATCCTTGTTTATGCAAGGGTTGCTTTAAAGGAGCAGATAGAGGATAACAGTAGACATTATTGTCATAAAAATCCTCCCATAAATCATTGCTATTTACTAAACAAATATTTTCAGGCACAAATGACAACTTATTAATTGTTCAATGTCTCAAACATTAAAATGAACTGAAAAGAACAAAGGAATACTAAATGAATGATTATGCGCTTGTTTAAAAAAAAAAAAAAAAAAAAAAAAATAATAATAATAATAATAATAATAATAATAATAAAAATTCAAATACAATCGTGGATATCAAATGTTCTGATGCTATGTACAAACATCTAGAAGAGACTCAACTAGCTTTTTTCAACAAGTAAAACTACATCAGAAAAGTGACCAAATTGTAGTAGCCTTGATACAATGTGCAACCAAGTTCTAAATAGATCTTTTGAGCTGAAATTTATTTATTATATTTTTTTAAAGAGCTGGTCATACTGATAACTATATAATAATTCTTGCTGCCAAAATAAAAGAGCTACCGTGTCAAATCACCAATAACACCATAAACAGTATGGAACAGAAACGGACAAGAGTAAAAAGCCATCAAAAGGACAAGGAAACGAGACGGGAAGAATCAAATGCAGTCTTATGCAGATAGGTCTCTCATGTATGATCCGCATAGAAAGTTTATGTGTTGAAGTTCCTCAGGACTTTAGCCATATGCAGCTTAATTAAAGCGCATCAAACTACTCAGCCCAAATCATGTTTACTGAACCAGTTTCAGTGGCCGTAATAGGTTATTTAAAGAATAATGTTGAACTGGTGTCCTACAGGGGGAATTGGTTTAAGCTACTAACTACTTCCATTTAGACTTCCAAGAACAAATATCTTACTAATATTTCTACAAATACAGATGGTAAATAGAAATACCAAAAATTACCATTCCATAAGCTAAAGAATATTTATTAACATTCACTTGCATTTTCTCCAAGATGATGAAAATCACAGTGGATAGATGAATTGCAGCTTAAAACTTTCAAGACTTCCTTTCTTAATCAATTTAAATAGAACTCAGTTCCTGTATATTACAATTCACTTCTCAATTTCAAGGTCACTTCTTGTGTTGTGTGAGAAATATAGGGTAAAGCGTCCCAAGTACAACATGGTCACACAACATTTTAAGGACTTGTTGAATTGTAAACATTTACTCCCAAGTCCCAAGTATGTTCGAAGCATACTTGAGTGGACTGAGTATGTGAGGAAAAAATCAAGACTAGAGCATATATTTGAAGAATGAAAGATGAATGTGCCTCACCTAAAACCTCTAGTCTCGTTCTTGCTGCCACGACAAAACATCTACAAAAGAAAATCCATAGCCAGATTTGAAAGATCAGAAGCTAACTCATTTACTCGGCATGGTAATGATATTTCAGCCAAACATAGAACGGTAATATTATATTTTGATAGATAAATAGGAGATGAGGGTGGAATTAGAATTCTTAAGCATGTGATTGCTTGGCAGGCATGCAATGTAAATAACAAGGTTGAAGAATACTTTCCCCTTCAGTTATCAAATACTCGAGTACATCATTGTTTTATAAGTAACCATAATATCATAAGAAATATCAGGGACACAAAACTCCGAAAATGAATAGATTGTTATTTCCTTTTAATGAGGCAACTAGCCACAATCAACGAATAACTTAATAAGCTTTTACTAATTGCTCAATGATAACACGTATGAAAAGTAAATCCAAGGGTCTTCTGCTCTTGGTTCATTTCTTTGTGTGATCTTCCTCCCCCCACCCCAAATACTTTTGATATTATTTATGTATTTTGTGATGAACCAGGTGTTCAAATTCAATAGTGGGACGAACAATACTAATAAGAGAGAACTATTTTCTTAGTGGAGTGTAGAAGACTTGGAAGGGGGTGATTGATAACTGATATATACACACCCAATATCCACGAGGAATTTCTTTTCCACAAATCTGATAATTCCCAAGTACACCTTTTTGGCTAAGACCGGCAACTTCCTTCTTGTTAGCTAACAAATCATCAAAATCTACAAGTATTTCTGCAGTTCCCTTCCGGCACCTAATAAACAATATCAAAATTCAAAATGATGAAGATAAAAGCAAACAATCAATAATGGACATAAAGAGAGTAGGCGCCAAACCTTCTTGATGGGTGATGGACCACCAAAAGCTGAAGAAATTTCGTAAGTGATGCGCGGGTCTCCAATTTAATCATCTGCTCAAGATTAATAAATAGAAAAGATAAGTGAAGCAAACTTTAAAAACAAAATGTAGGAAAACAGTAACATTGAACAGAAAAAGAAAATAAAACATAAACAGATAGTCACCTTTTGCCCTAAAATAATATCAAATGAAGTGAATGTAGCTTCCTCAACATCATATACAGCACGCGCAATCTTTCTCCACAAGCAGTAGAATAAAGTCAGAATGACAGATAATAATGAGAGTTTGAATTTATTATATTGCTTAAGAATTAATACATGCACTCTAAAGTACCTGTCCAGGGTCAGAAATATTTGTGTTAAGATGCTCATTCTCATATTTTTCGTCATCTAAGCCATATGAGCTGTAACATATAAAGTGTAGGGAAAAGAAAAGAAAATGTTAATGCCAATGTTGGTTCCAAATATAGACCTAGGATTGTACAGTGCCCAACTAGAATTTACTAGAAAATAGAACAATGCCTTTGATTGTGCAACTATTAATGCATCTCAAGAGGCCATCTTTAAACATAAGCATGCAAAAGATATGATCATGAGGATATACCTCCACTAATAGAACCGGTAAAAGCAAATTATAGATATGTTCTATACCTGCCCATTTGCTTATTTATCCAGTTTAGTAAGCGATCAGCAGTCCGTCCATCATCAATAGAACGTATTTCGTTATTTTCTTGCTTTGGATCCCAACTCCCAGATACAAACTTAGAAGGTGGGCCCCAAAGAAGCATAGGATAGTGTCCAACAGAGAACTTATCACAGAGATTGGTATTTATCTGTGCTGCCAAGCAAGTAAAACGGAGAACCATCACTAAGCTATAATTTAGTGAAGAGATCTCAAACAAAGAAAAATACAGAAATTAAATAATACAGATGAAAAACCAATATCTTAATTCTGATAAATGTTAGGAATAAAAGTGACGTTAGAAATAAAGAATAAGACTGATAAGACTATATGAATAAAAGATGCAGTGAAAAAAGGATTAGCGTTGCAGCAACATATAATCTCAAGGTCAGTAATCTCTAGCCTATGCAATCAAGAAAATTTTCAGTAAATCCCTTTTCCTCGCTCTCACAAAACATATCTAATTCCTTCTGACTTTTAACCACTTCCAGAGGGTATAAATACAAAATACAAATATTTCATCTCAAGATTAGTAATTATCTCTATTCCAGTCTATCAAGAAAATAGTCAGTATATTCATCTCTTACTTTCGCACGCACACAAAAAACTACATTTGATGTTCAACATAGTGAGAATCATCAAAAAGACTTGTAGTCTAAATTGCTGAAAAGAAATGGAAATTCCAGAAGAATATTTTGTTTCATTGCATATATTGATCTATACGTATCAATATTCTCCCTAGTTGACATGTTCTTTAGTTATGTGACTAAAGAACTCGATGCATACAGCAGCAGTAGGCAGAATGGAACCAATAACATATATTATGCTGGTTCTAAAGAGATAAGTTAACTTTGAATTTGCAACTCAGGAGATGAATATCTGCAAGCTGTTTCATGAGTTATTGTTAATTGTGGAAAACCGAATCGAAACTGTTGGTTTGGTGCTACGTGGACTTGTCAACGAAATTTTGGGTTTGAAAATTTTAATTGCGGTTTAAAACCAAACAGGACCGGCGAAAAAATATATAAAAATAATAAAAAATAAAAAAAATGAAAATTTTTGAAAATTCATCCAAATATGTAAAATTCAATAGTCCTGTGACTTTTGTCATTTGTGGGTATTTTTGTGAATTTTTAATTTTTTATTACTTATATATTATTATTACCCAATAATCCTAATTAGTTATTATTATTATTATTATTATTTTTTTTTTTTTTGTCAAATTTTAATTTTTGCCTTAGGCCCAAGGCCTCAAAAGCTTGTGTAATTGTTATGTTTATATACTATAAACAATTGCTTTATTATTGAGGTTAGTTATTCTCTATGTTTAATCAATAACTTTTTTTCTTGCAGGTATGATGATAACGACTTATTGGACATCATTAATATTTTTGGCCTTCTATTTAATTTAGTAGACTTTTATTGTAACGTTATCGTAATGTCATCAGCCTAAAAATGGCGAACAAAAAATTATGTTTTAGTTTATTGTGATTTCACTTTGATTTAGTTGGTATTTAAATTTATAGTAGATATATTTAGTTTGTTTTAGATTTACTGCTAGTAAGATATAAATATATATTGAATTCAATGAATTAATGGCGTAAAAGTAGATAGGCAAAAAAATATACGGCGAAACCGACGGTTTAAAATCGGATCAAACCGTTAGGTTTTTTGAGTTTTTTTCAAACCGTTTAAAATGGTTTGGTTTTGGTTTTGGTTTTGGTTTTTCTCAAACCAGTTTAAATGATTTGGCTTGAAAATCTGTCAAAAACCGGTAAAACCAGACCACTTACACTCCTAGTTAATGGGCAAATCTTAATATTATAGAATCGCTGCAGTGGCGGTCCAGATTCGGTTTAACTCACAAATTATTACCTCCAATGAATAAAAGGCATGTGAAGGAATCATTGGGGTATTTCCAGTATCTTGGAAATGCATTTCTTCTTCAAAGTGCCCCAGCCGTGGTGTATGACACCACAAGAGCGAAACTTCTACACCATTCTTTCATGACTTCACGTAGAGAAAACAAACTTCTGAATGTTTTTATTATACACATTTGAGGTTGATAATTAAAACTGCCGATGAACTGATAAGATGAATGATCTTTGGTTTTTACGTAGTAAATTCGATGGCATCTCAAAAAGAAGAATGTTGGTGAAAAGCAAACAGCAAAACAATTAAGATTATAATTTTCAGTTTCATATAAGCAAAGTTTGTCAAGCTTACTTGCACTTAATGAGAACAAGGAAAGATACCATAGTCATTACAGCTTATAAATGAGGATGTTAATAATGTCTCGGAAGAGAAGAGGTCAGAGGTGTAGAACCCCTCCAAACGTCCTCCCAAAACGAATCTTATTACCCATTTCAACTGCACATTTAGTGAAGCGAAGAAAGATGTTAGTTCCTGAGAAATGTACTTCCAGGGACTTCTATACGTACTACACTAGAGACCCATATGTTAATGTTGAGTTCATGTTTGCTTCTTATGACCTTAACACAAAGAAAGTTTTGATCCAATAAAATCTACAAAGCCACTTTCCAGTTCAAAGCGACTTTTTACTTGTTAGACTACCAATTCCCAACCCCTTCAATCTTTACTCCTAATAGCTACATCCCAAGAAACAAAGGAAATTGATCCGACCTCTCTTCCTTACAATATAGATATCCCTATTTGATCTCTTCTAGCTTCAAAGCTATGGTCTTCGGTAACTAAAACTGGGGCAGTGGGGCATATAAATTAAAAAAATAAAATAAAGGTCAATCACCATCCACAACAATATTAATTTTTTTCTTTGAGCTATCTAGCCTCCAGAAATTTTCTCAACTGGACACCAATACTGACAATACATTGCATTCCTTTAAAATGTAGCCTCATATACTTTAGATGTCAATCCCCCACTCAAAACCAAGAGTATCTGCTGAAGACTGCAGTTGAAGCGTCGAGGATTGGAATGAACAAGGTAATACTATTTGGACTTAAATAAAAGAATTAAGCAGTACAGAAAGAAAAGACCACTACAATTATCTGATTGCCAAATGAAAGTTGCCTAGTCTTCCATCACTCATGCAAGGCAAATTTTTATATAGTCTTTTTTTTTTTTTTTTTTTTTTTTTTTTTTTTTTTTTTTTTTTTTTTTTTTTTTCTTTTTTTTTTTTTTTAATATCATGTTGGGCCATTGGAATGAAGTATGGGGTAGTCAAATTTCTCCATTTTTTCACTCAATCTACCATTCTTCTCCCTAAAGAAAAATTTTTTTTTTTTTTTTTTTTTTTTTTTTTTTTTTTTTTTTTTTTTTTTTTTTTTTGTATATCATTACCCTACTTATAATTTCTTAAAATGTTCAATTATTAGAACTAATGATTGAACTCCTGTAAACACAATAATTTTTTAAGGGGTTTCAGCCATTTACATAAATAACAGCATTTAGGTGCTGAATATTTGTTTTGCATAACGCTCTTTGAATAACATTTTTTTGATAGGTAATGCTCTTTGTATAACTGAACAAGAGCAGCTTAGAAATATTGTTCAATCTACTCTTCTCACAAAAACAAGTAGGGAAATATATAGCAGTATAGCATGACTACCTTCGAGGCACAATCTACTCGGGCCATCAATATGATTCCTGGATAGACAGCCTCTGCTCCATTAAAAAGCCTTGCAACCTTCTCATAATGTGGCTGACAATTTGTATATTTCTCTGTGAGAAACATAATTATGGGATAGCAAATAACAATATAAGATGAATCAGAATATACCTTGTAGTTTCTGCAAGCCGGGCACCTGCAAAGCCAATAATAGAAAGTATAATTAGAAAAGTATCATTGATTTCAGTATCCAATATTCAAGTCAAACTCCAAACTTACATTATATGTCACAAATCAACAACTAACCTAGACTCCTATATAAGTAAATAAATATACACAGATACAAATATAGACAGAAGTACAAATTTACAAATTACAAACCCAGAGAAAGTCAACTTCGTGCCTTTTCATTCTTTATTATAGAGCTTTCAATTTGTAGAATGCCGAATACTATATGCACTGTGTCGTAAAATGCAGCTAAATAGGCATTCCTTTATAATCCTTAAAGGCTGTACAATGCTAATTTAACATGTCGCAACTACAAAATTTAAAATGACACCATATATTAGCATATGCACATGCATGTTTATCAATTTATTAATTGTCGCTTCAAGAGTTTCTCATCTTAAATTCAATCAATTTTTATATCTAGTGCAGGTTGAAAGCTGATTACATGTGGTGAAAGCAAAGAAGAAAAAGGCTTGAATACTGACAAAATTTCTAGCACAAAATCACTTAGGTGAGAATATAAAGCCCAGATGACAGTAACATAAATTATTACTTTTCAGTTTTTGACTTTGAAATAACAAGTTAGGATCAGTGTACTTATTATTGGATAAGTAAATCCTAGCATTATATTTCAAACTGTTCCAGAATTAGAAAAATTTCATGCCGTAATATTTTTCTTCCTAATCATAGTCATTCTTCAATCATGAAAGTAGAAAAGAGAGGTAACATCTCAGAGATTTACGACTTTAGTCATGACATTGAAGTGCAGCAACTGAATGTTCTCACATAAAAATTCCTCCAAAACAACTCTCCTTTTTTCTTTTCCTCCTTATAAGTAAAAAAGTACATGTCAAATCAACTCCGTAATCCCTTAGCCAGAAATTTATGGTTTTCCACATCTGTTTAACGCTCTGTACTTTTCTTTCTATTACATTACTTCAATAACTTCATAAAAACGTGAATCTATCCATTGTTTAATGTTGCAAGCGTAAGCTAAGAATCACAACCCAACAAAGCATCAGGCATCAACAAGAACCAGATGGAAGCACTCTAGAAATAATCTGAGACATGTACTATAATCCCTACAACCACAACAATGAAAAAGAGGGAAAGCCAACATTTTTTTACACTTGTCGCGCTGCCAAATACATTTCAAACACTTTAGAAATCAACACATGAAAACTTGAAAAATAGAAATTATTCTCATACCAGAAATATATAATATCTGAAAGCAAAATTAGTACACTTCTATCCCGCTACTAGTATCACATCATCTAGTGAAAGAGAGACGTGCCCAACCACAACTATCCTCGTGGTGTCATCTTTGCTTATTGATATAGGTTTTAATTTCCTATTTGGTCCACTCCAGTAGGGCCACACATCCATTTTGACGTCTTCATTTTCGCAACATTCATCTTACAAACATCTTATTTTTTCAACAAATTCACACTTATCTATATAGAGGTTGTCTGCTCCAGCTTTTTTGCCCCACTAAAATCATTTTTTTTTTACCTTTTTTCCCCCAGCTGGGACCCACATGTGAGACAATTGGTGAAAAAAATCGGCTGCAACGGTAATATAAATCCTTTTTTCCCCCAAAAAAATTGGTACCAAATAGGGATGTCAACGAGCCAAGCCAGCTCGCGAGCCAAAATTTGAGACTCAGACTCGACTCGGGTAAAGTGAGCGGGCTTTTTTCCGAGCCCGAGCCGGGCCGAGCAAAAGCTCGGTCAAAAAAATTTTGCTTGACCCGAGCTTTTGGCTCGAGCCAAGCCTGGCTGGCTCGTGCCAAGCCGGGCTGGCTCGCTTTTTTTACCTTTTTTTTTAAATATAATTATTAATGGCTGGCTTTTTCTTAAGGCAACATTTTGCTGCCTAATTTTTTTTATTATTATTTTTTTTTCAGACTTATGGGCTGGCTCTGGCTCGGGCTTGGCCAGTCCTCCTATAATGAGGCTTGGTTCTACCGAGCCTCGAGCCGAGCTACGGGCGACCCGAGCCGAATTGCCATCTCTAGTACCAGACAACCTCATAAATTATAGCAGATCTACTCCTAAGACTTGCCTTTAACCTTTTATAGATCTTTCTATCACCTAGAAATTTTATAGCACTTGACCATTTCATCCACCTACTCTAATATTATGCATTACATTCTCTTCAGGTTCGCCTTACTGAAAACAATTGTTGACATAGGACAGCCTATTAGGATTCTTAGTTTTTCAAGGACTCTATTATTAATTGTTTTATAGGCTACTTTCATTTAAGAGTAGGTTATTAGTTTTCTTCTCTTAGGAGATTGATTCCTTTTCTTAGTCTAATAGGATTAGGAGATTCTCTCTCCTCTATATACAACAATCGTTAATCTTATTTGTAATCATCAAATTCAATATATTCAAGATATTCTACTAAACATCTTCAGCCTCTCCAATATTTCTCTTGTTTTACAAGAACTAAATTCCTCTTCTGCACCACTTGTTCTTTAGGACAACACTCCACATTGACTCCATTATCATAATTGTTCTTACTATTACTAAAAGGATAGTCCATCCATGTACTATGAATTCTACTTAACCTAAAACATTTGAATTTCGAAGTACTCCAAGTTTTAAGTTATAATTCAACACTAACATATTACCATTTATTAAATACTACATCATTAGCGAAAAACATCCACAAAAGCCCCCTCATCTTGAACATGTCCTATTGAGTTTATCAAAGAGAAGCAAGGAGATAAAGACTAGGTAGACCTTGATACAAGCTAATTATTACGAAATTCTCCACTACTAGTGCCAGTACATATCACACTCGTAAGTGTTTCATTACATATCTTTAATAATATTGATATATCTTACACAAATCTATTTCTCTCTATAGCACCTATCATAGCATTTCTTGACAAACTCAATCATAAAACTACAAGCCAGTTTTATTTCTTTTCCTAATATTTGTCCATTAATCTCTTAACCATGTAAATAGCTTCCCCGATAGATCTCCTTCACATAAAGTAACTAGTTCTGCGAGAACTTCGAATTAAAGATAGATCTCCTTCACATAAAGTAACTAGTTCTGCGAGAACTTCGAATTAAACCTTACTCTATGGTCATCACCCTCTCCCGAAAGTACATGGCGTGACCTGTTATTGCAATACCTCTTTAATTCATTAAGTATTCAATATCTCACTTATACTAATAAATACACACTATAAAGCACCAGCTCCATTCATTTGAAGTCTTTTTACTTTTTAAGATCTCATTAAGTAATTGTCAGAAATAAATCATTTGGCAATTAATTTCTCGCTGCTTATTATCATTTGTACTTCTAAACATTCAATCTGATATGGGCAATTGTTTTAATATCTTTGTTCATAGCATATAGTGTTACTCCAAAATTGCAAGTATCAGTCCAACAATTTGGAAAGATCGTCTAATTTTATTCTTCAAACTATAAATCAAGTGCATATCATAGAACTACAACCCTCGCAGGAACTTATTACCAAATTTTATTTCCATAAAAGACCCCTTTTTAATAATAATTCTGGTAACCCATGTAAAACTGTCTTGTGACATGAATATTTCTGTAGAGTAGTTATAAATCAAAGGGAGTTTTCCACTCAAAATATACACTCGTTGACGTAACTTTCTCAAAAATTAATTTTTATAAGTCAATGGGGAAAAAAATAGAGAACCCAGCATCAGTGTTCAAGGAAATTGTTTTCCCAAGCATAACTAAAAGCCGATTATATCATGTGATTGGAAAAAGCCATCCATCCTAAACCAATTAAGCACCTTTAAAGGTAAAGGATTTTTAAATCTCTAATGTATGCTAATCTATCACCAAACAAACTACAGAGCCATTCATTTCACATCTCTTTTATTCATCAAAAAGAGATCTTCATTCGGAAAGGAAAAAAAAAAAAAAAGGAAACAGATTTATCTATCAAATTACAAAAATGGATTCTTATTTATAAAAACAAGAAAAAAGTAACTCACCAGTGGGCAAAAAATTCAACAATGGCATAAGTGGTGGGGGTCTCCTTAAGCACAGAATCGAAAATCGTGGCGTTTAAATCCACAGCGTAGTCTGGCTTTTCAGCTCCATTTTTCTTAGCATCGTTGACTGACCGCAGAATGGACCGAGATCCAAACGAAAATGGTAACGAAATCTCTCGTGTCGATGCTTCGATTCTTGACATAAACAGTGCCAGAATTAGCACGCTAATCATCATAATTACAGAAGACAAGGACCCAGATATACATGTACATGTATATGTATGTGTATACATATTTTCGTGGGGTGGAGTAGAAGGTCTTCAGAAGGAGGGGCGTGTTGTTTTGCGTGGAGATTAAGACAACCTTCGTTTTGAGAGTTTTAATGAGTGGGCCTGGCCTACCTAGGACCTAATGCGGTTACTAATTGAAGCAGTTATTGGTTGTACACTTCACTTATATGGCTGTTCTTTCTGATATAGGAAATGATGAAGACGACGCCATAGAAGCATCCGAAATAGACAAGGAATCGAAACGTAAAGGAACCTAGGAAAATAGGGTTACATGTTTCGTTCCCCACCCAACTCAACTTTTACACACTAACCTACTTTTAGACATGGGAATTTCCAAATAAGATTTTAATGAATTTTAAAAGATTATAAATTATAATAAATTTAAATATATTTTTACAAATTTTATAAGAATCTCGTCAAATATAATAAAATTTCAAATGATTTGCTTATATGTATTTTTAAATTTGAAATCCATCTAATTTTTGTAAAATTGTTCTATTAATGAAATCTTTATACAATAATGTTATATTGACATAATGTTTGACATAATGACATCTGACTATCTATTATTGGATTGTTTAAAATACAATCAATTGTTTCAACTAATCACATTTTGCCAACACTTATTATGTCAATCCAATATAATAGATAGTCACGCGGCATTATGTCAACCATTATGTTTATGTAACATTATTGTCATCTTTAAAAATCCACTAATTATTGAAGATACTTAAGTTTTATAGAATTTCATTAAAATCTCAATTAGGGATACCTAAATTTTAATGAATTTCATTAAAATCCAATAAAATCTAAATTGAAGACACTTAAATATAGAATGACTTTTAAAATTCATCGTAATCTTAATAGAGGATACCCCTCTAAACTTGTTTGGTAGGAACTAAATTTTAAATAATATTATTTAACATTAGTAGGTTGCGACCTCAATTTAGGTGGCGTTAATGTGATATTGAATGATATATAGAATTAAATAAGTTATTTAATTTCACCTTTTATTCAGCCTATCATCTAGTATCATCTAAATTGAGGTTGTAACCTCATTGGCATTGCATAGCATTATTCTAAAAATTTACATTTAATTTTAAGTTAAACTCAATAATTAATTTCAATCATCTTTTTAATCATATGTTTTATTAATTTGTAGCAAAATCTACTAAAAATCTGATTTTAATACCCATGAAACAGTGGCTAAATTTCAAAGTGCTTCACAATGCTCAATCAACGTTGTCAATTTACAATACATTTATAGTCCACCAGATTTCGTTCCCTCATTGCAACATGTCAAAAGAATATTTTACGTGGTAAATTATGATCGTTAAAAATATTACAACTCATCAAATTATCCAAGTAAAATATTTCATTAATTATCCAATTTATACTATTTTTTCACAATTTACTCGTCAAACTTCAAAATACTTCCACAATTATCACTCATCTTTGATGTTGCACTCCATCCATCCTTCACCAAATTCTGTTATCCTTGCCGCTAACTTGTCGGATGAAATCACACGTGACAAATTACAATCATTAAAAAAATCACAACTCAACCAAATAAGCCAATTCACTAAAAATTGTCATATGTGAAATGCGAGTTCCATGACCTCACAAGCTTCATTAAGCCCCAATTTCGTCCCTAATTTCAATCCTAAAAAATTCAAGGCCCCCAATCCAACTCACCAAAGTAGTTTCTCGCATCTTTCTCAACAATCTGCCATCTCTCAGTCCACAATTTAATTGTACATGGGTGAAATAAATAAATTGGGGCTAAGGTTTTTTGGGTTGAAATTAGGAATGAACTATTACAGCTTATAGAAGTTTGTGGCGTCGTAGAAGAAGCTTTCACGTATGAAAATTTCAGTGAGTTGGATGGTTTGGTTGAATTGTAATTGTTTTAAACATCTTTAACTTGTCGTGTGGGATTTTTGTATGATACATCATTAACGACAGAACGAATCTAACAAATGATAGACGGAGTGCAACATCTCCAAGGTGGATGACATTTGGGAAGCATTTTCAAATTTGGTGATTAAATCGCGATCATAGTATAAATTGAGTGAGTAATGAAACATTTCATTTGAATTGTTTGGTTGATTTGTAATTTTTCAACAATTGTAACTTGTCACGTAGAATTTCGTTTGACACATCAATAATTAGAATGGAATCTGGCGAATGATGGATTGAATGCAACTAGGCAAAGTTCAACGAGCATTGTGAAACTCTTTGAAGTTTAGTGAGTAAACCACGACCATGTTATAAGATAAGTAATTAAACATTTAACTTTAACAAAACATGTTTTTAAAACCTTCTTGCGTTATATTTTTAAAAAAATTTGCAGTCAAAATCACCATTCTTCGAAAAATACAAATTTTCAAAATTAATTTAATAAGTAATCATTAACAATTATTTTTGTTATGGATAATTAGCACAAAACGTCCTTATCTTTCATGTTATTGTGCAAAAAGTTCATACATTTCATTTTTTGATATTTTTATCCTTACCTTCACATTTTATTGCGAAAATCATCATTTTCATCAAATTTCTTGTATAAAATGATAAATGCACCCATATTTAAATAAAACAATAAAAAAGAAAAGAAAAGAAAAGAAAAGATAAAGAATAAATTGCAAACATACTCCCATACTTTTTTAAAAAGTGCAAATAAGTCCAATTAAATTATTAAAATGATAATTAGCACAAAACGTCCCTACCTTTTATTATTATTGTGTAAAACGTTCCTACCTTTTTTTTTTGACATTTCACCTTTATTTCATATTTCATTACGAAAATCGTCATTTTCATCTATTTTCTCAATTAAAAGCTGTAAAATATTGGATATGCACTTCTCTTTAAATAAACAAAAATTAAAAAAAATAAAACTAAAGAACAAATTGTAACTATATTTTCAAAATTTTCGAATTTGTACTTTTTTGAAACTTTTGAGAGTATAGTTGCAATTTATTCTTTATTTTTTTATTTTTTTTATTAAAAAAAGATGATATATTTGTCATTTTACAGCTTTTAATTAAAAAAATTGATGAAAATAATAATTTTTGTAATGAAATATAAAAATAAGGATGAAAATGTCAAAAAATGAAAGGTATGGACGTTTTATGCCAATTATCCTTTTAATAATTTAATTGGACTCATTTGCACTTTTTAAAAAAGTTTGGGAGTATGATTGTAATATATTCTTTAAATTTTCATTTTGATAGAGGGTATATTTGTCATTTTACATGAAAAATTTGTTGAAAAGGATAATTTCCGTAATAAAATGTGAAGGTAAGGGTAAAAGTGCTAAAAATGAAAGATATAGACGATTTACACAATAACATTAAAAAGTAATAACGTTTTCGTGCTAATTACCCTTTTGTTATTATTTGCTCACTCAAAAATAAAAAGGTATTAGTTGAACACTCACTTTTATGCAACATTATCCATCTATCATCCATCCCAATTTCGTTTGCCACCTTAACCAAAAAATAAATAAATGGCATATGAAAATCCTACATGATAATAAACGATATTATAACTTGAAAGTTAATTAAATGAGTAATCACCAACATTTACTTTGTTTACTATTTGCTCACACAAAAATAAAATGTCACTGGATGCTCAACTATTTCTACACAATGTTACACATCCATCACAATCACATTTTCATTTGTCCATATATTTTGCCCCTACTTTATTTTACATATTTCTCGTCCAATACAATTTAGTGCCGAAATTGTAGAGCTGAAGGCAAGATTCTGAAAAAAAAAAATTATATTCTCACTGAATATATGAATATAAAGTTACTTGACCTATTAAACAATTTATACTCAGTTACCAAAAAAGAGCTAAACCTCGATTATTGTTTTTAAATCTTCAACTGTCCAATAAATTTATACATGCAGTGTCTATGCAAGTTTATTATGCTATTTGAACAGTCTTATCTTTCAAGATTCCATTACTCATTCGACACAATAAGAACAAGTTCACCTAAAGCTCAGTTTGTGTAAAATTTCAAGGTCGTTTTAGTTTAGTGCATTGGTAGATCCTTGCCAAAGACCGTAAATAAATTGTCAAACGCTAAGCATGAGATATTAGATTATGGTACTGCATAAGATGAACTTCACTAAATTGCATAGAATTGCTACAGCTCATAACTCAAAATGGTGCTTCGCTCCATTTCAAGCTCGGCTAACACGAAAAAAACCAATAATACTTTACTGTTTTCCCCCTAAATTTAGTAAAGAATCCAGTCTAAGCTCCTAGCGTCTGGAGTCTTGCTGATAATGCAGTTTTGTAGTGTTTGATCCTCGTCTTACCATTGCAGCTGCTTCTTATTCGAGAAGAAATATCAGTTAATGCTTCCTCCCTTTGGGGGCGGTTGGCATATAGAATCCACAAAGCAAGACTAAGCATGACTCCTACTGAGATAAGGGCTAGTCCAGCATTTACAACCCGAAGTGTGTGCTTTAATGGAGGACAGTAGAACAAAGTGATTTCTCGAAATGTATCTCGTACAAAATCACAGTTCTGGAGACTCAGTAATAGCGGGGTATAATGTTCAAGAGCATAACTGATGTTTAACGCTGCCACCAACTCCCAGTACATTTGCGGAGTCAATCTTCCAACGCTGTTGCAGAATCCAGAAGATGAGACGTTACAAGTATAATTCTGCCAAACCTATATCCATCAAAAAATTGGGAAAAGAATTGGTCAATATTCCTCAAAGAAACTTTTTCGTTCAACAATGATTTACTTCCTCGTGGAAAAATGACAAGAACCCAGGAAAAAAGGAATACAAATAACCCACAGCTTCGCAAATTTGTTCGAAGAAGAAACATTGAAATCGGCATCAGATGATTAATAAATAGTGTTATAATTTCAAAACACTGAGATATAGGAAAAAATCTATTAGTCTACTCATCCTATTCTTTTAATTGTACAGGTCATATGAAGTTCCTGCAGTATCTTACACGTAATGCTTCTATACATGACACTACTACCAGAGCAAGTTTACTGGCATATCGTTCTTTAACATAATAAGATTAATTTCAACTTGTGTATTTGATGTTATCCTAGAAATTACGAGATACATAAAGTCAGACTGCATACCAAGGAAGCATTTGCCATTGAAACTTCTTCAGATGTACACTGACGATCTTGCAGCTGTGCGTCGTATGGATAGCAGAGATGAGGAATTGCAGGGCCCGATTGATTGAAATAATAAGGAAATGCCTGGGGAGGCGGGTTTGCATTGGCAGTAGAGTCTAC